GGCGCGAGTGTGCTGGAAAGATAAGTCCAGTTAAAGGAGTATCAAGCAATTCTTTAAAATTTGGTTTATTATTGTGCCTTCCCCCTTTTCAAATTTGCAATCTACAATGTATGAAGTTCTTTATTAGCTTAACAAAAAAAATACAGTTTTTAATAAATATAATCTGTGTATGGCATATACTTAGTGATTAAGATCGATTGTCTTCGATTAATATCAAATCATTTAATATTCAATTGTATTTGCCATCCATTATGATTGAATGTCTATACTAAAAATTGAGGTGTTCATCTAATATTTTGAAGACTTCCACACTTTCTCCTTCATTTTAATATGCAAGACTAATTGCATAAATATAGACTCCATCTAAATATTCTCCAATATAAATTCCATTTACATATTAAGAAATATCATTTGGAAAATTCTTAATTCCTAATTTCACAACTTTTGGTGCCTATTCTTACGAATCCAACTTATGATAGTCTCCAGATCCAACAATTATTGTTGTTGAGTTGAGTTTTTGCATGTCTTCTGGCCCAAATATATTTTTGCTCAAATGTTGGCAAAGCGAGTATGTATTACACTATGAATATTTTTGAAAGCATCGAAGAACCCAATAATCACTTTTGTTAGATATGAATCTATTGCTCCAGTTATCATAATCCAAGTTTTCATAAAATAAATTAAAATTAAAATTATCCACATCAAATTTGATCAGATATAAATTTAAAAAGATATCATCAACGTCAAGAGATTGATGACTTAGACATTATTAATTCAAAGATTACATAGTAATTAAAAAGAGTTCTTTCGAATAAGTTTACTTACAACTGAACTTTCAAATTATAATATTATCAGAATATACATAAGCAAAGTTATATTCTAACTACTTAACAACAATATAGTAGTTAATTGAGATATAAATCTTGCAATAATGAAATATTTTTTAGACTTAATTATTCTTAAATAAATAAGTTTTTATTCCTGACAAAAGGTTTATCAATGATTAGAGTGTGCCGCAAATCTTTATCAAGAACAAAATTAGCTTTAAATAATAATTTGGGCTTAGAATAAAAGTTTTCCATTTAATTTTAGCTTTCAAAAAATAGTTTGTTGATTGTAAGGAATTTAATGTATTTATATTGAAAATGAATATCCATTATGATTGAAAAATTAGAGATATTATTTAGCTTAAAAATATATATTTTATATCTCATTCATAGGGATTGATTCAGAGATCATGGAACATTAATGTGATTTTGAATTCTTATTATATTATTTTTGGTCCTTTGAAGTCGAAACATTGTTTTGCTTAAAGATCTATTAAATATTTAAAGATTCTATTCTTTCAATGTATTAATATTAACATAATGAAATTATCTATATTAAACATTTTAATGTGGAAATAAATCAATTTAAATTTGTTTTATCAGAGATTAAATCAAAGTTGATCAGAAATGGCATTTTTGTAAATTTTTAAACACAAAGTTTTTATTAAAGAATTTTAGTTTAAAATAAAATGAAAGTAAAAAATGCTTACGCAAAATCACAAGAGTTAAAGTAGGAAGAAGAAAGACTTCAAGGTATAGGTGGTTAGTTTTGTATGCAATATGATTTAGAATCACTAAATTTCATAACCTAATTTATCCCACAGTTCTTGGAATATTATGTTAATTCATAAAAGAGAGATAAATATGCAAACTAATTGCCATTAATATCTGTAACAAATAGTCCAATTAGAAACATATTAACCAGATTCGATATCAACTTATTATTTCCTGAAAGAATTTGGGAATTTTCAATGACACGTATTTTCTCATTAAATTTTATAGCGATCTTCCTTGAACAACTCACAAAACTTTAGTTCTTCACCTAAAACCTACCAAAGATATTGTATATGATAAAATTGATTTTAAGAGGAGATTTTAAAATTCATGAAAAAAAATCATAAAATTAGGAGTTTTCTGAATATCATTTATATAGATTCACGAAGATTGAATAATATAGAAAAACTTTACCTCATTCATAAGTTTATATTGTTAAGAATTAATTTATACTTTCTGAACAATTTGTAGTTCAAATAATTCCAACTTAAAAATTTACTCTAAATTCTTAGAATCAACTTTCAACTTTATAATATGTTGATACTATTGTTTTTATATGTTATTAGCAGGGTTATGGCGAAAATTACATTTGTAAATATTTAAATGAATAAGCAAATGATCCTTTTATTTAAAATGAATTCTCTCTATTATAAGAAAGCAAAAAATCCATCCAAATTAAGGACAGAAATGGCAATCAAAGTTATGTGTTACCCAGAAAGTTTAAACTTATAAATTTTGAAGCAAATTAATTTGAATTTTGTTCTAAATATCAAAGATGGATCAAAAAAATGAATATTGCTCATTATGAAAATCGAATTTAAATCTAAAATGAATTCAAATCTTAATAATACCTATTGAAAAAATACTTATTCACTCCAAATTTTGATTAATATCAGAATTTACTTAAAAATATTAAGAGTGAAAAATTTTCCATAAATATGGAATAATTTCAAGCTATTTCTCAAGAAGGTGATACAATTTTGATTGGTAGAAGTGGAACTGGAAAAACGACTATCTCATTGTTGAAATTATTTATAACTGATGCAATATTTATGTTGAGGTAGAATCTTGACCTTTTTAAAGAATCTTATTCTAAAATTAATTTGTAATATAATAAGGAACTTTAATCTGGAATTTAATTGAAAACCTTATTTTTAACATCTAGTCCTTTATTAGCTTAATAGATTAAATAGAAATATGAAAATATGGTTAAAAATGTTGAAGAGAATTTAAGATAAAAGAACAGAATTTAGAGGATTTCAGAATAGTAAAAAGACAATCTCAACGATAGTACTGTGTAAATCCTAGATTTATTGGGAGAGTAAGAAGAAAATGAAAGTTAATTTGAGGTTGAAGTTGAAAATGAAAACGAAGATGATGTTGATTAATATGAAAAAGAGATGGGATAATTCTAAACCATTTCAGATATTAAATAGTTTCCTGCCTTTCTTACTATAAGAAAATTACTATTTCTGATTGATTCTTAACTATAAAACCCATTTTTTAAAAATATTGAATAGATTCATAGATAAGCCTAATGGCATAATGAATAGTTTGGAGTTCTATCACTGAATTAAAATGCCACTAATAATTTTTCAGAGAAATTAGAATCCCAAGTCCATGATCTCGACTCCAAAGAAATAATATACCACAATAATAAATTAAAGGAAGTTACTTTAGAAAGCTTTAAAGAGTTTTTTTGGCCAAAAATCATGTAGGAATTCCACTGGACTGAAAAAGCAATCTTCTCAGAACTGGATCCTATAATAATTTGGTCAGAAATTATCACAATTATCAAAGGACATGAATTTTCATATCTATTTCCTAACTTTCATCTTAGTCAAGAGGAATATAAGAGAAGCTATAGTCATAACAGGTAATCACAACCGGATTAGGTATTTAAAATATTCTTAATATACGAGAAATTAAAATCAAAATATGACTATTATGATATTCTTGATCTGATTAATCATATTAATTACGAATAAGCTTGTTGTTTTGATATTATCTAATATATGCACTATATTATACTTGATGAACTTTAAGATGTTCCAAAAGCTTTGCTAATTCTACTTAATAGAATGACTTAAATTCAACTATTTTTAGCAGGTGACAATGCTTAGAATATTGTTAAAGGTATTGGGATGAAATTCTCAGAGATTAAGAGTTGCCTTGAGCAAGAGAAAAATTAAACCTAATCGATTCGAAACTCCAAGACTTCACTAATCTAATTATCATACAATTTCAGATCTAGCAATTAAATTTTATAATTAGGTAATACTTTGGTCAACGCTCTTGAATTATTGTTTCCTAATTAACTTGATTCCTTATAAAAAGAGAAATCAAATTAATAAGGACCAAAACCAACTATTATTTAGAGTTGTGAAAATAAGGATCTATTGAATTATTTATTAAAATAATATAGAAATAATTAGAGTAACATCGAATTCGGTTGCAATTCGGTGATTATTGTAAAAGATTAAGATTCAAAATTAAAAATTCCAATAGAATTATAGAATGCCATTATTTTAACTATATATGAAGCAAAAGGTTTAGAATTTGATGATGTTATATTATTTAACTTTTTCACTGATGTCGATGAAGATGACAGTTTTATGAGTTTGCTTCAATAACTAGAAATAGTCAGAGTCAGAATGGATAAACACGAATGGAATACGAAATGTAAATTAAATTTTTCTATGTTTAGCTAACTAAAATGCGTATTTAAATCACAAGGACATTGGTTAATATGAGGTGGAGTTGACAAAACTATAATGCCTACAAAATAACCAAAAATCAAAGTAAAATGTTCCCATAAAAAATCAAAACAAAGTCAATCTTTCTCTGTAACATAAATTAAAATAGCTTTACGTGGCTATAACCAGACCAAAAAATAAATTAATAATATTTGATTAATAGTTATAAAATAGAATGTATATTCAGAAGATTTGGGAAGATTTGGACATAGTAGAAATAATTTAAGATACCCAATTATAGTAAATCTAAGAATAAAAGTTTGTTTTATCATTTTCAATGGATAATAAAACTAATTGGAAGAAGTAAGGATATAGAATGCTTAGACAAAATAATTATGAGCAAGCCTATAAGTGTTTTATGCTTGCTACTGAAACAGAATTAGCAAAGAAATGCATGGCTTATAATTTAACCACCTAAGCTACTCTTAATTAAAATAATATATTATTATTCAATCAAGCAGCATAGATCTTTGAAGAAATAAACCTAACAAAAAGAGCAGCCTCTTGTTACTTCTCAGCAAAGAATTATTAAAAGGCCTTGCAATTGTATGAATAATTAAATTGCAAAAATGAAATAGCTGAGTCTGCTTACTTCATGGGATAATATAAACTTGCAGGTCAACTTTTTTAAGAATTAGGAGAAATAAGAAGATCTCTTGAATGTTTTAATAAGTAACAACTCTGGGATGATTCCTTGGATTAACTTAATTTAAGCAGAGAGTAATTAAAACCAGAAGAAAAATTAATGTTCTTAAGTATTATAATACCAAAATATTTGAGATCAATAATAGATGATATCGAAAAACAAGAACTATAACAATAACAAAATGAAGAAATTATTAACGTTGATGATTAATCCGAATCCGTTTAAGTAGAAAATTCGCTTGTTAATGACAATTTAATTGGATAATAAAACAATCCAGAAGATGATGTATAAATAATTAATGCTCATGACGATTCTCAATCATTTTAAGTTGTTTTAGATGAATCACTTGATCATTTATCTTTTTATGATCCAGATGATGAATGGATTAAAGTTGACAATAAATCTTTAATTAAATCTATTGCATCATCAAGTGTGGAATCATAATTTTCGAATGTCTTATTGATGAATTAACCTACAAATACACCACTTCTTAAAAATAGATAAAATATTTTTATCAAAAATAATGTAATGTTACATTTATGTGAAAGATTTTAATAGTTTTAGAAGGAATTTAAACTGCTATTAGAAAATTAAAAAAGTTAAAGTGCATTACTGTCATTTAGAAATATGGAAGAGAAAGAGTTTGACCATATGATTAATTTTTTATATGATTTAGAGAACTTTGACATAGAATCTGTTTATTTTGTGTTGGATATCCTAGAGCATTTTAAAAGTTACAAACTTTGTATTTATGTTTGCAATCAGTTCAAATTATCTTAACATT